ATACAGGGTGCGCCCACAAAGTAGAGCGCCAGATATAAAAACCAGAAAAACCAAGATATTTTGAAAAATATCAGAGATAGGTACTTATAGGACATTATTAACCATATAATAAAAAAGACGTACAATTACACGTAGAATTCAAAAATGCATTCAAATACAGGGAGTTCTATTAAAAAAATGTACCATTTTGGCGCCCTACTTTGTGGGCGCACCCTGTATAATTCCAAATATTTTTAAAATGTGGAGAATATTCAACCATATCGTAATACAAAAGCACTCTATCGAAAAATATTATCTTCAGGGCATTGAGTTACTCCGCGCAATCGTTGACTCGCCCTGTACAGGGCGTTTCATTTAAAACAATGAGCTTAGGTTGCATAACTTTTTTATCTGACTCCATATAGGGCACATTATCAACAATCATTATATAGAAACTTTTGTAATAATAGTATATTATACAATGAGCATTTAATAATGGCTACTAAGACGAATCAGAATCAAACAAAATCTCGAATCTGTCGGTCGGTCTGTAACACTCTCATTTCCGGCTAAACGGCTGAACCGCCTGGAACCAAATATGGTACACATATTCTTAGACATAAAAATCGCGCCTGTGCAGTTGTGTGGGTGGTATCTGTGCTAGCGCCACAGGACTTTTTTTTATTTTCCCGCGAGCGAGTATTACCAAATTTTGATTTTGCCGTTTTTTACTCAAGAAGAGCACATGACGGCTATATTACTTTTCTGGTGGGAGATCGCTTGTAAAAGTGTTGAAAATAGGACACGCTGTACAGGGTGGTTCAAATTCATGAGTCACTATTGAAATCTACGCAACGGTGAGAGATACAGGGCAGGTTAAATGGGGGCGAAGTTGCCCCTTTATGTGCCTAAAAAACGCTTTAGACATTTTTGAAAAATTGTTGAGAATTGATATGACCGAAAAACTGAAAATGTTAAATTTTGTTTTCAAATTCCCTAGCTTAAAGAGTCGAGTCAAGGGCTGCTACCAACCCAACCCACTATTCATTTACAAATATCCCTACCCGAACCCGGATTCGAACCAGAGACCCTTAGTACCCCAGTCGAGCTTTCACGCCACTGCGCCACGCAAGCCTGCCCATGAGGATCTTCTATGGGCCCCGTTTTTTTCAAAGAATCTGGATCTGTTAACAGAATTTCCATAGCACGATAGATGTGTAAGCTACAGGCTGCTACTTTCTTCTTTCTTATGGGCGCGGGTGCCATATTAGATTTTTACAGAATGAGATAGAGGACAAACAAACAAAAACAATTACATGTCACACTATACTTTTACGTAAATTTACAAGAAGAATTTTAAAATCAAAAGTTTGAGGTTCCACCCTGTATATACAATTTACGACGATACATACATTTTTGAGAGCTGCAACCATGCAATTTCTAGGTTGAAAAAAAGCTGCCTGTGCCATCTAGAAAGCAAAAACGTGGGTTACGTTTGGCATCTTGAATGGCGGTCGAGAACGTGTCGCTTCATAAATGTTTGTTGTTATTTTGTGTTATTTAATGCAGGTAGTAATTTTCTTTATATCGTATTTGTGTTTTAGATGCCACATATTATACTTTTTGTATTCTTTGTTTTAGAAATTTACTTGGTTTAACCGAAATGCAGAATGAAATGCTTAATACCGTTGTCCTTTTGTTTATAATTGTTTACGTTTTTGGTGTAATGCTTGCTTAATTTATGTTTATTGATGTTGATTACTTGGTCTTGTCCCTGAAGTAACATTCATATTTTGATCATTTTATTTTAATATGTGGAAATTACCGATTCGTTTGATGTATGTACTGACTTGTTTGTAACTAACAATTTTCTCCGTGAATGAAGCAATCACGGGGGCGGTAAAAACTGTAGTCAAAATTGAGCTAAGAACACCTCATTCCGTGGTTGTCTTCGACTTTCAACTGTAGGCTCGAAAACCCGAAACCAGGGGCGGGTTACATATCTTGCCGGAGCGGGATTACGCTAATCAAAGCTCTTCAGTTTAGAATCTATGTGCGATAAATGAGTTACGATTCGTAATTACCCCATATCTTGTTTTTAGTAAAATTTGCCTACAAGGCCATGTAATTTTCCATCTTGCTTTTAACAAAAGGACTTTATTGCACCAAAGATGAGTCACATCCGGTGTATTTCACCCTTTCTCAGAATCTTGGTACCTGCTTACCTGACCCATAATTCCCAAAACTTGTTTTTAACCTATATGTTACCTCTTGAAGTCTACATGATACTTTTTGTGATGTTATAATTTTATGTTACGCATTCACATCATTACAAACAATTAATTTTACTACACAATTTAATATTAATTTGACGGCTGGTTTTTTTATTGGTAAGTTCTTTTTTCCCCCAGCCTATTTCTATTTTGATTCGGTGAATTACCATTTTCAAAGTTTATTTTTGCAATGTAATTTATTTCGACTTAAATTTCCGAGCTCTTACAATCATAATAATTACGATCATTATTAAACAAACTTGTCACAATTTCAATGTTTTATTTTACGTCCCTTCCCTACTGCGCTTCAGGTCATGGCGTTGTTTACAACTAACGTAAGGGGGCCCTGTCTTAGGTGTTTGATCACGTGCCACTTTTCAATTTAAGCGGGATCTTGTTTAGTTTTGGGGGGAATAGTCATTCGGGTGGCCATTTTTAAACGTTGCCGCGTTGACTTTATTTCGGTGTTCTTGTACTGTGACGTTAGCGTAGAACCTGGGGGTTAAGTACACTTTGTAGTGTACCTTCATTTCTCAAGAAAGCATTCACGGATAACTAGATCTTGCTGAACCAGCATGGTAATAATGGTGATGAATTTAAATGAAATTTTGTCCTCTATCATTCTGTAAAAATTCAATGTGGTGCACATAAGAAGTAAGAAAGTAGTAATCTGTAACTTGGTAATCTAATGATCGAGAAGGTGTAAAATTGACGCCTCCAATTGCGTCAGTTTTAAAAGCGCGAATCTGAGTCGCCTTCAAATCCAAAAGATGACTCACGAATTGGTAACTATTACGATAAATGCGAACAATAGCGTAATTTTTTAAACGCGCGCAACGCGGAAAAAATCATAGGAATATTCTTAAGGTTAAAGACTAAAAACAAAACTACGTGACGCCGGCCTGCTGGCAGTGGTCGATTTGTACGCAAATCTTTTTAATCAGATTAACGCTTACCGCCGGAATAGCTAAAGTTTTGAATCGCCGTATTTAACCTTAAATTCCCAAATTAAAATTTACACGAGGTCCAGGATTTTGTATCGACCGTCCTTCCAACCGTTTGGATCAACAAAGTAGATCAGTACTTCTTACATCAAAATCTTTGTCTTTTTCTTTAAATGATTAAGGAAAATTCTTAAAGATTCAATCATTCTCTTTAATCAGTTTGAAGAATCAAATTGTATACAAGGTAAACATGTTGTCTGGAACACTGAATTCAAAACAACACTTTTTTAAAGAAGCTTTTTATGGTATTCAAAATTATAAAATTTGCTACCAATGTACTTTAAATTGTTACCTTTTTAATGGAAACTACTCGTGTGATGGTGATTTCTCACTAATTATCGTATGAGTGCTAACCATTAGCTTCCTCTATGCCATTAGACTTTTTTTGGTGGAAGGCCATGGGACCAAGGGGTCTACCCCCCAGCAGTACTCTCAGAACAGGAGAACTTGAACTTTGTTGGCCTCTTTTTTATATTACTATCACTATGATAACATTTTCGAAAAGGTAATCAAACCTTCGTAATTCTGGTGGGGAAGACCCCCCCCCCTTCCACGTACTACGTTCTCACACAAGAGCAGAAGAGGTGCGATGGTGTTTTCTCGCAAATTATCATATGTTAGCCTGAGTTCCACCTTGATTTCAGTCTTGATTTTTTAACTACACGTTGCCAATTCTGCCTGAAAAATGTACACCTATAATGGGGCGCCAGTGGACAATCCAGTGATTTAAAAAGAAATTACTTTATGCTCAGTATAGCGTTACGCTGGCAATACAGTAGGTAATGGATTTATTGATCTACCTTAAATTACGGATTGAAGTGAGATGATATCTCCATAGCCCATCTGTCCAATGAAAACGCACTTTGTTGACGCAATACTATATAATGGCGTATACTTAATACGAGCAAACAAATCGAATGATTGATTGTCGAAAACAACTCAATTAAGCGTGTTGCGTGATCGTCCTGTAAAAATAATGCACCCAGTTCTAGTTCCCGCGTCGATGACACAAAAATGTACGTGTTCGGTGCTCAGAACTGAGGCAGAGTTAGACGTACTGATTGCGAAAAGCAGCGTTTACCTGAAAGTACACTTGCCTTATTCAAATACGACAAAATTAAGAGCAATTTTCAGAGGTGGTATGGGAAGGATCAACTTAAGACAACCCACGCTTTTCGCAGTCAGGACATTAACCCCTAAATTTGTAACACCCTGTATTTTATTTTTTTTTTTTTATTTTGCATTTATTTTTGAGTGGGCGGGGTTTCAGCCAAAGCTGCTCCACCAACCCAACCCAATATACATTTACAAATATCCATGCCCGAACCCCGATTCGAACCAGGCACCCTTAGCACCACAGTTCAGCTTTTAACTGAACTGCACCACACGGGCCGACTGAGCGATCTAAAGGTGGACAATTTACACAATGACAGTAACTTACTGATGTAACAACCATCGTACGATATATGAAAAATTGCCTCTCACTCACGTCTCCAGAATTCAATTTTTATAGTACACCCTGTATAGCTCTGTTGCGCTTTATAACACAAACGTGCGAAAGGCAACGAGCTATGTTAAAAAATCGAAAACTTACAAGTTACCAAACCAATAAATAACGTTCTCAGCACACTCCCTTATACTTAGCTCATTATAAGTGCGAGCACGCAACCAATATCGATATTAGCCTAGGTGTGATATGCATTAGCGACGATTAGAAAATTTAATCAATCCTCCCCAAACCTACCTTCGGGATAAATTTGCTGAGATATGATCAGATTCATAAACATCGTCGTGATGTTGTAAAGTCCGGCCATCCCCTTCGGATGGAACTTCGGATCGCTATGGTACACCCTCTTCTCGTAGATATCCGTGTAATTCGGGCCGTCCAATTCGAGGACGGCGCCCAACGCCCTGTGCAGATCGTCGCTTATTTTATTAACGCGCGAGGTGAAATTCGAGTTGGCAAAGCTGAACGCCAAAAATAGAACGAAACAGGTAAAAACGAAATTTAACAAATTAAAAGAGCGTCGCTCCGTCAATGTGGCGTTCGCCGTTTTTCGACGCTTGCGATCCATTTTGATTTCGGTCCGATATGTACACTACACTAATATTGATGGTTGCCTAACGACACTTATCTTATTCCCTCCATACTGTTTTAATTCTCTTCGTGTCTCTCTTTCACTGATTGGAGGTATGTAGATGCGGATGCATTATTTGATCAATGTTGCGCGGCGGCGATTTAGTGTGACGTACGCTTATCCGAATCAGATCTGAAACCAAAGATTAAATTAGTCGACAGTTCCATGTAGGTAGGTATTTATGTTGTTAAAAAAGTATATTGCAAACACCGCACGCGTAGCCGAAATTCGGTCAAGGAATTCAAAACGCACTATTGTAAATTAAACAACCCTAACAAGACTAGCAAAGGTAGCAGCTCAAGCAAACAAACCTGACTTAATTACCTTAATATAATTAGTCAACCCAACATCGAATAATTTAAAGTTTGTATTTATGCTGTCCGTTTTGGTAACTACATTTTCCTTCGTAGCATTCGGAATATCCATGCCCCTCTGTGCTCAATATTCCCACTACAAGTTGGACAAATTAATTATTAATTTATCGATCTCTTTGTGCAAACGAATCTGTTTTAATATCGAGTATATTATTATAATATTAGCAAACCCTGAACAACCCTTTAACCGGGTAATTTTCATCCGAGGGGTATTTCACTCGTTTTCAACCAACATCGTCAATTATTTTTGTCAACTGCGGCGTTGCACATTCTGTCGAATTTGCTAACAGCGAGACTACCTTCCGTTACTAGTCGACTTCAAAGAAGACAATTTTCCATCCAATTCGTACAAACGTCTAAAAATAAGTTAATACATAACAACAAATCGAATAAGTCAATATGCTAGGAGTTTCAGGCGCAAGTCCTCTTTCCAGATGTGTTTTGCACGGACCGATTATAAAATCCTCGTTGATGTTACCGATGGACAAGAAGAGCGACAACCCCATTGGCTACAGTCAGACCCCAATATAGGCAGCACCAGGCTCGGCACCAGGTGGCGTTTGGGTAAGTCATCTTTACCACACAAGCACACGGCTGAGACTTGCCGGCTGCACTCGACATCTTTAACACCAGACGTAGACAGATGGAGACCTGCTGCACCGCACGGTACGGCACGGTTGCGTCGCGAATTCATTAGATCACTCAAAATTACACAAATTGTAACAAACCCTCATCTTGCTATAAACTTTATTTTTAACAACTAAAGAGAAAAATGGATCTCAGGAGCCCGCTGGGTTCCGAAGCGCTGGAAAATCTCAACACTGACTTAACAAAATCTTGAAGTTACGGAAATCCGCAATTCAAATAAAACAACAGTATTAAATTTTGAACTTTAAACTGGAAATGACCATCTGTTAACCCGAAACGAGAGAAATTTTCAATGAACAACAAAAACAAACTTTATCTGGACTTTATTTACTTTACTGGAAATCTACACATCCTGAGATCGTATACAAAATAAATCTACCAGCACAATGGCATTTAAAAATAAACTCAATATTTCTACAAAACAAACAAATAATCTGAAGGCCTTGTTGAAACATTTCACCCCGTTACAAATGGTCAAACAAAGAAACAAGTATAACTTGTGCACAACTCTTGTGCAGATAAAGCGCATTTTTTAACCGAAATAGTTTTTGTTTTGCCATCACCAATGGATATATTTCTTGCAGACGTCTCAATCGCTCTTTGTGAGTACCCTCTTCCGACAATCCGTTCTTGAGGTGTAAGGGCATATACCAGATCACGATAAGAGGCGGAGGAGGAGGGCTATGGTTGGTAGAAATTAATTCCTTTCGTTGAGACCTTTCATGGTAGCACATGTGTGTGTGTTTACCCCCCCCCTCATTTTTAAATTTTAACTTGGCGCCACTAAAGGCATGTGTATGCAAAATCTGAGATCAATTGGTTGTCGTATGTAAAGTATATGCACGTTTTACTTTCAAAAACAGCATCACAGGAAATAGTTCGTGGGGGGAGGAGGGGGGGGGGCTTTTAGACAGCGAAATTTAATGGCCGTCTGGCACACCTTCAAGGTATAAGCTACCTAATGCAAAAAATTCCAGGACTCTAGGACCATTCCCCTAAAAGTAGTTCAAAACGGTACAAGTGGGTCCGGACGGACGGACGAAACGCAAACAATAGCACATTTTTTTAATGCTTAAAAAATAAGTCTCAAAAGTACTCACTACTTTGTAATCCACTTTCTTCTTTTTTTAAATCGTCAGCACTAGTTCCATAACGATCGACATTGTTGAAATGGTAGCTCGGATACAAACTTTAAAATTGACGAAATACCTCCTTTTCTATAACTTGTAACTGAATTTGTGCACACCAACTCTAGACAGCAATCGAAAAACTGTTCGTGTATCACTTCTTCTTAACTTAACTGATAAAACAAGTCTCCGAAACACCGGCTGACTGCCGGAAAAATGCGAATTTGAAATTTACACGCAACGGACTGTTACGTACGCTAAGGCAAATGACCGCCCCGCACAACGGCGGCCAAAGCTGTTTAAGTCCGGGCCATCTCCATCCCATTTTTCGACGAAATGTGAGCGTTTACCACGCACTTTCGTATCTAGAAACTTTGCACATGTACCGTCGCATATCTAAATCAAGTAAATTTTACTTTGATAAAGTCCCCTTTTCAAACATCTGCTAAATAATTCTCGTATAGACGCAATAACCCCCTTTACCCCCATCTTTCTTAACTCTACGTCTTAAGTTACAAAAAAAAACAATTAAAACTTACTAAATTATTGAACAATTTTTACAGCAAAGGTACAACTGCAACTAAAATTAAATAAAGCTCATCAATTGTGTGCCTATTTGTAACAAAAATCCACCCGGTTTCTTGATCACTTTCAAAAATGCTAAATACAGTGTGTGCCGCTTGCCATTCCCATAATTTTAAACGGAAATTACGCTAGTTATGCGCATTCTTTAGCAATCCAGGAAGGCATACGCTTATTGTCAGTATTATTTCAACCTAGTAGGCATACTCCCTTGGTTTATATAGCAATATAATTCTAAATAATAGTAATGTATGTACAGGGTGGCCAACTACGAATGCGAGGTACTGTATCTGAGAATCTATCCATCGTAGAGGCTTGTGGTAAAAAAATATTTATTACTAAAACGGCCACGAGCAAAACCTGGAAAATATTGTTAAGTTTTTGAAATGACCGCTAGGGGGCGTAACTGCAATCTGGAATCTAAAAAAGTGATGTTTCTGTAAATTTCGCTATATTAACCTAACAAAAAAATGTCAGTTTTCGCGAGCTTGTTTAGGCATCATTTAGCTACTTTTTCATGAAAAAAAAAATCGAACCAATCCATTTAATTTTTTTGAGAAAATTAACCATGTCTATCGAAAAAAGTCTTCAAGCGGCGATATGCCAAACTAACAAAACTTCTTATAATATTTGTAGGCGAAGAATATCTCTTTTCAATTAACCCGAGTTTGTTAAAATCGGCTCAGTCGTTTCAAAGATACAAGGTGTCCTTTACGGAAACCTTTGAATACCCCCCACCACTTCATTTTTAGAGATACAGGAACAATTTTCAAACAAAAAAGGTTCAGATTATCGTCGTCTTCAAAAACCGGATTTTTTTGTTAGGTTAATATAGCGGAATTCACAGACAAATCACATTTTTGAGGTTCCAGATTGCAGTTACGCCCTCTAGCGGCCATTTCAGAAACTTAAAAATATTTTCCACGTTTTTCTCGTGGCTGTTTTAGTAATAAATTTTTTACCGCAACCCTCCACGATCGATAGATTCTCAGATAGAGTACCTCGCATTCTTATTTGGCCACCCTGTACATATAAAATGTGTCCAAGATACCGTTGTCTATCATGGGGATCTCGGAAACCATAGAATATAGGAAGATCGTAAATTAGGGAAACGTTGCGCAATTAAAGAGTTAATACCATTCGCTCAAAGAAACTCCGATTACTTCCGAATATATGCCAGGAAAACCCGAGGGAAAACCGAACCATCAAAACATCTGCCGCCGCCGTTTCTCGCAAAGCCGCCGATAAGTACCTACCAGTAGAACCGTGACACTTGGGCCGCCATATTGGATTTTATACGTTTTGCCCACGTGGACGCGAATGTTTTTGTAGATTTTAGACCATGATTTGATCATTCGCACTCTAATGCGCTTATTAATAGCGCGGTTTACTTCGAGGACTCAATTTAAATTATTTCTTTGAAATTAGACTTTGATTAATTAATTAATTCTGGCACCCGATTTATTTACCCTAATCGTTATTTAATATTCATTTCGCATCGATGATAGAACTACCTCGCAACACAACTCGATTTGCTTATATAGCAAACGCTTTCTCGTAAGTTCTCGAACGTTCCCGAATACTATAGAATGTTCTCGCACAAACATGCCACATTTCCCGGAAAGAATGTGCCACATTCGCTTTCGTTTGTTATCGCCGATGACTAATCTTTCATGGTGCCTCGATGTCTATCGGAACTTCTAGAATATTCGCTACAATGTAATGAACAGTTTGAAATACTCAATAAAGGCAAATCTTACCCGAGTATTTTTTCCGCATTTAAAAATAAAGTAAACTTTTGTTAAATTATTTGAAATAATGAGTGCAACAAATACGATACAGCATTACGATGGATAGTGTCTGACGTCACATCAGGTGACGTCATTTTGAAATACGCCCATTTTATTATTTGAAAAAATAAAAAATAATTGTAAATACAAATGTTTTAGAGCTAAAAGATAGTTTAAAAAATTTTCTTTTCAATAGTCCTTAACATAAGGGAGTTAAGGGGGAGTTATAACGATTTTTCGAAAAACAAAAAAACGCCAATAACGAACCGGGGCACCAAATCAAAAACTGAAACTAAGAATAGTTGTTTAACGGCCGTTTACGGGTGTAACGACTTAGTATTAACACCCTGTATAATTAAGTAGGTATATAAACAATAACTGTAAGTTCGTGAAACATTTTTGAAGATGTTGGCTATATTTCAGAAACTCGTATGTGTTTTTGGAAGTGTCGGGAGTTTTAAAAATGTCAAATGTTTTGGAAATGTGTAGGGAAGTTAGAATGTTAGATCGAGTATTCCAGACATCGGGGCGGCAGCAGCCGTCATAAGAGAATAGTAGCATATCCCGCATTCTTTCCGGGAAATGCGATGTGTTTATTCCAGAATGTTCTA